CGCAGCAGAGTGGCACCTACTGACTCCAGCCTGGGTGACAGAGTGAGACTCTGTCTCAACAAATAATAAATAAACAAATAAATAAAAATAAATGAAAGTCAGGTTTATCTAGAGATCCTCTCCCAACTGCTAGCAAAAGATCCCCAGGGAATGCTTGCCCACACCCAGAGACATAAATCCAGCCCAAATCCACAGGTGAGAGAGAGGGGAACATTATGATGAACAGGGATTATGGGGAGACCCACAGAGGACTCTGAAATGGGCCAACGAATCCCCAAAGACTGCTTCCATCTACAGAAACAGTTGGGATTAATAGATAGGGACCATGTTCTTGAGAAAAGCACATCTGAGGTCCAAAATTCTTTCTTGAAGAATAAGGTTGGGTATCTACACTGAGAAAGAAGCTCACACTCTGTAGCTCCTCCCAAAGTGCTGGGATTAGAGGTGTGAGCCACCATGCCCAGCTGCTTTTTCTTTTTAATAAGTCTGTGTCTATAGACCAGGGTTTCTCAACCTCTGCACTACTGACAAGGTGGGCTGCATAATTCTCTGTTGCGGTAGCTGTTCTACACGTTGTAGGATGTTTAGCAGCATCACTCGCCTCTACCCACTAAATATCAAGAGCACCCTCTTCCCAATTGTAACAATCAAAAAAGTCTCTAGATGTTGTCAAATGTCCCCCTGAGGGGCAAGATTTCTCTGGGTTGAAAATCATTGCCCTGGCTGGCTCACGCCTGTAATCCCAGTACTTTGGGAGGCCAAGGCGGGTGGATCACTTGAGGCTAGGAGTTTGAGGCCAGCCTGGCCAATATAGTGCAACCTCATGTCTACTTTAAAAAATCCAAAAATTAGCCAGGTGTGGTGGCAGATGCCTGTAATCCCAGCTACTTGGGAGGCTGATGTAGGAGAATCGCCTGAAACCGGGAGGCAGAGGTTGCAGTGAGCCAAGATCATGCCACTGCACTCCAGCCTGGGCAGCAGAATGAGATTCCGATAAAAAAGAAGAAAGAAAGAAAGAAAAACAGCCGGGCATTGGTGGCATCATGCCTGATAACAACAGCACTTTGGGAGCGCCAAGCAGGTGGATTCACGGGCCAGGAAGATCAAGACAAATCCTGGCTAACACAGCGAAACCCCCTCTCTATTTAAAATGCAACCACAAAAAAAATGCCAGGCATCGGTGAGTGGGCCTCCTGTAGTCCCAGCTACTTGTGAGGCTGAGCAGAGGAAAAGGTGTGAACCCGGGAGGCAACCTTGACCAGTGAGCTGAGGATCCGCACCACTGCACTCCAACCTGGGCGCAAGCAGAGCAAGACCGTCTCAAAAAACCACACACACACACACAAAAAAACCAAACAACAACAACAAAAAAAACTACTGCCTGAGAGTAAATTTTTTTCTTTCTTTTTTTTTTTAATTATAGAGACAAAATTCTCGCTGTGTTGCCCAAGGTTAGTCTTGAACTCCTGAGCTAAAGCGATCCACTTGCTTTGGCCTCCCAAAGGGCTGGGATTACAGGCATGAGCCATCTAGAGAAAAGTGCCTGGCCTAGGAGTAAAGTTTAACCTGGAACTGTGGGGTCAAGAAACAGGTATATTAGCCAGGTGCAGTGACTCACACCTGTAATCCCAGCACTTTGGGAAGCCAGGATAGGAGGATCACCTGAGCCCAGGAGTTCGGTACCTGGAGAACATAAGAAGACCTTGTCTTTACAAAAAATAAAAGTTAAAAAATTAGCCAGGCATGATGGCTCACGCCTGTAATCCCAGCTACTCGAGGGGCTGAGAAGGGAGGATCACTTGAACCCAGGAGTTTGAGGCTTACAGTGAACTATGATCGAGCCATTGCACTCTAGTCTGGGCAAAGTACATTTAACAGTGATATAAATTGCTAAACTGGCCTCCGATAAGATTGTATGAATTACAAAGCCAACATGTCATGGGAAAACGTCCATTTCTCTACACCAGCTCTAGGCACTATGAATATTTTAATTTTTTTTTTTTTTTTGCCAGTCTCATGGGCAATAAAACAATACTTCATTATTACTTTAAGAAAAGTTACATGTATATTGGAGAAGGGAAGGAGACCAGCCGACAGCAAATGAGTAAAGTGAGCTCGCCTTACCCTTATCTCGGTGCTGAGATTCTTCTGTTTTAGCTTCACAGCTTTTTCATGAGTGACAGTGAAGTCCCAGCAAAAGATCAGCTTAGTGATCCCTCCAGAGTAAATGTGGGGGTTAATGAAGTTGTCCCGGAAGTACTTGGCCATGCTAGAGAAGGCAGAAACCGGAACACCTGAAGGTTATTACAGCAGTCATTGGAAGTGCAGGGCTTCAACAAAGAGCAGCCCTATTATTAATGGTGAAAGGCAACGTGAAGACTTAGCCCCAAGCTGCTGGCCTGGAGCAGTGTGGTCACAACACAGTGGTTAAACAAGCACTGGCTTTGGGGCCACACAGGCCTGGCTTGCAACTCTAACAACTGAGTTGCCAACTGAGGGATTATTGTCTTGTGAATGGTTCTGATTCTGAGCCTCAGTTTCCACATCTGTAGAGAGGGAATAACAATAGTACTCACCTTACAGAATTTTTTTTTTTTTTAGACAGAGTTTCACTCTTGTCTCCCAGGCTAGAGTGCAGTGGCGTGATCTCTACTCACTGCAACCTGCACCTCCAACGTTCAAGCGACTCTCCTGCCTCAGTCTCCCAAGTAACTGGGATTACAGGCATCCATCACCACGCCCGGCTAATTTTTGTATTTTCAGTAGAGGCAGGGTTTCACCATGTTGGCCAGGCTGGTCTTGAACTGCTGACCTCAAGTAATCCACCCAGTTCCCTGTTGCTGCTATAGCAAATGACCACCAACTTAGTGGCTAAAAACAACACAAATTTGTTCTTTTACCCTTCTAGAGATCAGAAGTCAGAAAATTTTTTTTCCTTGTTTTTATGTTTGTTTGTTTGTTTAGAGACGAGGTCTTGCTGTGTGGCCCAGGCTGGAGTGCAGTGGTGTAGTCATAGCTTACTGCAGCCTCCACCTCCCGAGCTCAAGCCATCCTCCTGCCACAGCCTCCAAAGTAGCTGGAACTACAGGCACATGCCACCATGCCCAGCTAATCAGAAAATGAATCTCACAGGGCTAAAATGAAGGTGTTGGCAGGGCTATGTTCCTTCTGAAAACTCTAGGGGAGAATCCATTTCCTTGTCTTTTCCAGCTTCTAGAGGGTGTCCCCTTTCCTTGGCTTATGGCCATCTCCTCCATCTTCAAAGCCAGCAGGGTAGCATCTTCTCATCTCCCTGCTTCTCTCTGACCTCCTGCCTCCCTCTTATAAAGACCCTTGTGATTCCATTGGGCCCACCCAGATAATCCAGGATAATCTCCCCACTTAAAAATCCTCAATCACATCTGCAAAGTACCTTTTGTTATGTGAAGTTACATATTCACCAGTTCTGGGGATTAGGCTGTAGACATCTCTGGGGGATGGGGGGAGATTATTCAGCCTTCCAAAGAGTCCATGCAGTGCTTACAGCAGCAAGCAGTTGATGAAAGCACTGTTATTGTCACGGGATGTCTCAGGCCTAGGAAGCCCTGAGCACACACACAAAAATGCTGCATAAGACAGACAGATGCTGCTGTTCTGAAATCTGCCACCACTCAGCAACAGCAACTTAAGAATCATTTCTGGCCAGGTGTGGTGGCTCACACCTCTAATCCCAGCACTTTGGGAGGCCCAGGCGGGGGGGATCACTTGAGATCAGGAGTTCAAGACCAGCCTGGCCAACATGGCAAAACCCCGTCTCTACTAAAAATAGAAAAATTAGCTGGACATGATGGCACAAGCCTGTAATCCCAGCTACTCAGAAGGCTGAGACAGGAGAATCACTTGAACCCGGGAGACGGAGGTTGCAATGAGCCAAGATCGCACCACTACACTCCAGCCTGGATGACAGAGCAAGACTCTGTCTCAAAATAATAATAATAATAATAATAATAATAATAATAATATCATTTCCTACTTTGACAGAACAAAACAAAATCTCATTTTACTTTGAATTAGCATGCTGGCAGTCAGGTTGCTGTAGGTTGAACTGTGTACTTCCCAAAATTCGTATGTTGAAGTCCTAACGCCCCAGTACCTTAGAATGTGACCGTATTTGGAGGTAGGTCTTTAAAGCAGTAATTAAAGGCCAGGTGCAGTGGTTCATGCCTGTAATCTCAGCACTTTGGGAGGCTGAGGCAGGTAGATCACTTGAGGTCAGGAGTTTGAGACCAGTCTGGCCAACATGGTGAAACCCCGTTTCTAATAAAATTACAAAAATTAGTTGGGCATGGGGGCACATACCTGTAGTCCCAGCTATTAGGGAGGCTGAGGCAGGAGAATCCCTTGAACCCGGGGGGGCAGAGGTTGCAGTGAGCTGAGATCACACCACTGCACTCCAGCCTGAGCAACAGAGCAAGACTTCATCTCAAAATAAATAAATAATTAAT